CTCTTGCTCTTAATTCGTGTTATACTACTGCTCCAATTTACACAAGATAATCACGCTGCTCTCAGGAATCTACTTTGCCTTACATGGCGAAATTTTGGATGGACGTGGAAGTGTTTTTGTGTGCATGTGCGTGTGTACACCGCTGGATTGGCCATCGTCAACATTTCGTGCGAAAAAAATGGACACCCATGCTTGCGGGCAAGCGTTCTTTCACAACTTACTTCCAAAAGGGGTATAAAAGAACCTGTTGGCTTTAAGGTGTGAACAGGTTATCAAGATTAACAAGCTCCTTGAAAGACAAATCTTGGTTAAATGTTAAGGTAAGTTCATAATTTTCATTGCCTTCGCATGTTGTTCGTAAATATTAAAATAACTCAGAAAACATAGCGCATTGCATGCTTCCTGAGTAAATAACTTCATACTAATCGTGGTTATGCCATTAGACTGTTTTGTTTAAGCGATACGACACTTTCTTTCTTTCATTCTTCCAGACAGTGCACTATTTATTGAAAAACTCTATACCAGAAAAGTATTAGTTTTGTGCTATTGTACTTTTTTAAATAGATTGATTTAAATACGTGTCTTGTATTTTTCTCATTTTAACACTTGAGGAATTACCAGGGATAAATAAAACTTGTGGAATTACAAAAAAAAAGAGTTGTGTATCTCCAACTCCAAGGGTGTCATGAGATTTATGAGCCCGCGTTTGAATTTGTTTTTCCTTGTCTACGCCCTATCGGAAAAATCGCCATGGTGCATACTGGAAAACATGGTGGGCGTAGTGGAAATAATAGCGGGCATGGTGGAAATAATAGTGGGCATGGTGGAAATTATGATGGCTATGGTGGGACGTAGTGGAAAATATGGTGGTTATGCCGGGACATACTGGGTGGTATGGTGTATAGATGATGGATAAAGTGGAAATGATGGTGGAAAGCAGAGGCTAGATAGTGGGCAATAATAGGACACTCTGCCCACCATTGCGATAATGCTGGGAAGCCCTAAGCATATGGTGAGTGGTGCTTATTATGGTGGGCTACATGGTGTACCAAGCAGAGAAACTCTTCCCAGCATTGCGATAATGCTGGGAAGCACTAAGCAGATGATGGGTGCTGCTTGTTATGGTGGGCCACATGGTGTACCAAGCTGAGAAGCTGTGCCCACCATCGCGATAATGCTGGGAAGCAGTAAGCAGATGATGGGTGGGCTTATAATGGCGGGCAATTTATATAGTGTACCAAGCTGGGATCTGTACACTACATGTTCTACCACCATGATTTCCACCAAAGATTAAGCCTACCCACCGAGCCCGTACAATTGTGTTATCCGTGCTTCCGGGTTTCAGAATACACGATTTCGAAGATTAAGTATGACAATATAGCGCAGCCATGGAATCAATTAACCTAAATGAAGCATTTTTCATTGTGTATAGTGTCCGCTCAAGAAGCAACAAACATCGATGTGACGCGATTAAAGCACTCCCAGAGAACGTAATTAAGTGTCTTCTCACCGACAGCCGCTGGTCGCACTCGCCGGCGCTTCTCTAGCTTTTGTACGAGAACTCAGACGTGGCAATTCGTATGCTTCATCATCATCATCATCAGCCTGACTACTTCCACTGGAGGACAAAGGCCTCTCCCATGTTCCGCCAGTTAACCCGGTCCTGTGCCTGCTGCTGCCAATTTATACCCGCAAACTTCTTAATCTCATCTGCCCACCTAACCTTCTGTCTCCCCCTAACCCGCTTGCCTTCTCTGGGAATCCAGTCAGTTACCCTTAATGACCAGCGGTTATCCTGTCCACGCGCTACATGCCCGGCCCATGTCCCTTTCTTCTTCTTGATTTCAGCTATATTATCCTTAACCCCCGTTTGATCCCTAATCCACTCTGCACTCTTCTTGTCTCATAAGGTTACACCTACCATTTTTCTTTCCATTGCTCGCTGCGTCGTCCTCAATTTAAGCTGAACCTTCTTTGTAAGTCTCCAGGTTTTTGCTCCATAGCTAAGTACCGGCAAGATACAGCTATTATATACCTTCCTCTTAAGGGATAGTGGCAATCTACCTGTCATTATTTGAGTGTGCTTGCCAAATGTGCTCCACCCCATTCTTATTCTTCTAGTCACTTCAATCTCGTGGTTTGGCTCCGCAGTTATTACCTGCCCTAAGTAGACATAGTCTTTTACAACTTGAAGTGCACTATTACCTATCTCGAAGCGCTGCTCTTTTCCGAGGTTGTTGTACATTACTTTCGCTTTCTGCAGATTCATTTTAAGACCCACCTTTCTGCTCTCCTGGTCTAACTCCGTAATCATGAGTTGCAATTCGTCCCCTGAGTTACTCAGCAATGCAATGTCATCGGCGAAGCGCCGGTTACTAAGGTACTCTCCATTAACTCTTATCCCTAACTGTTCCCATTCTAGGCTTCTGAAAACCTCCTGTAAGCACGCGGTAAATAGCATTGGGGAGATTGTGTCCCCCGGCCTTACACCCTTCTTGATTGGTATTCTGTGGCTTTCTTTATGAAGCACTATGGTAGCAGTTGATCCCCTGTAGATTTCTTCCGGGATGTTTATATATGCTTTATCGACGCCCTGATTCCGCAGTGTCTGCATGACAGCTGATATTTCTACTGAATCAAACGCCTTCTCGTAATCTATGAAGGCTATGTATAGTGGTTGGTTATACTCTGAGCATTTCTCTATTACCTGATTGATAGTATGAATGTGGTCGATTATTGAGTAGCCTGTTCGAAATCCTGCTTGTTCCTTTGGTTGATTGAATTCTAATGTTTTCTTTACTCTGTTAGCAATTACCTTTGTAAATAGCTTGTATACTACAGAGAGCAAGCTAATCGGCCTGTAATTCTTCAAGTCCTTGTCATCTCCTTTCTTATGTATTAAGATGATGTTAGCGTTCTTCCAAGACTCTGGTACTCTTCCCGTCAGGAGACACTTGGTAAACAGAGTGGCTAGTTTTTCTAACACAATCTGTCCTCCATCTTTCAGCAGATCTGATGTTACCTGATCCTCACCAGCAGCTTTGCCTCTTTGCATGCTCTCCAAAGCTTTTCTGACTTCTTCTATCATTACTGGTGGGGTGTCATCTGGGTTACTGCTAGTTCTTATAGTATTAAGGTCGTGGTTGTCTCGGCTACTGTACAGATCTCTGTAAAACTCCTCCGCTATTTTAACTATCCTATCTATATTGGTAGTTATTTTGCCTTCTTTGTCCCTTAGTGCATACATCCGATTTTTGCCTATCCCAAGTTTCCTCTTCACTGCTTTGACGCTTCCTCCGTTTTTCAGAGCGTGTTCAATTGTCTCCATGTTATACCTTCTTACATCGCATACCTTACGTCTATTAATCAACTTCGAAAGCTCTGCCAGTTCTATTTTGTCTGCTGTACTTTCATGATTTGACACTTCCTAATTAGGTTCTTCGTTTCCTGGGAAAGCTTGCCAGTGTCCTGTCTAACTACCCTGCCTCCAACTTCCACTGCACACTCCGTAATGATACTCGTCAGATTATCATTCATTGTATCTATGCTAAGGTTGGTTTCCTCACTAAGAGCCGAGTACCTGTTCTGAAGCGAGACTCTGAATTCCTCTACTTTCCTTCTCAGTGCTAGCTCATTGATTGGCTTCTTGCGGATCAGTCTCTGTCATTCCTTCCTCAAATCTAGGCAAATTCGAGACCGTACCATTCTATGGTCACTGCATCGTACCTTGCCAATCACTTCCACATCCTGCACGATGCCTGGGTGTGCACGCATTGTAAAGTCTATTTCGTTCTTATTTTCGCCATTAGGGCTCCTCCATGTCCACTTGCGGTTTTCTCGTTTTCGGTAAAAGGTATTTAAAATCCGTAAATTATTGCGTTCTGCGAATTCTACTAGTAGCTCTCCTCTGGCGTTTCTACTACCGATGCCATAATCTCCTACTGCCTGGTCTGCAGCCTGCTTCTTCCCTACCTTTGCATTAAAGTCTCCCATCAGTATTGTGTACTGTGTTTTTACCTTACTCATTGCCGATTCGACGTCTTCAAAGAAGCTTTCAACTGAAGCATCATCATGGCTGGATGTAGGCGCGTAAGCCTGTACCACCTTCATCTTGTATCTCATATTCAGTTTAATTACGATACCTATCACCCTTTCATTAATGCTATAGTATTTCTCTATGTTGCCAGCTATGTTTCTGTGAATTAGGAAGCCCACTCCCAGTTCTCTTCTGTCAGCCGAGCCCCGATAGCAAAGGACATGCCCATTCTGTAGCACCGTATAGGCCTCATCTTTCCTCCTAACCTCACTAAGCCCTATTATATGCAATTTAACACCCTCTAGCTCCTCGAATAGTACAGCTAGACTTCCCTCACTATTCGTATGCTTGGTGAATCAATATGATAGCGTATTGTTTCCGGCACACTGAATTTGTTTTGGCCAAGCCGTTATGTAGTTGTTGCTTTAGCGAAAGAGCTACAGCATTGCGCTAGCGTGACCGCCCTCTACATTGCGCGAAAAGCATCCCAATACTCAATCAAATAAATTGGGCGGGTGTATCTATGGAATGAGCCTAGAAGCGTCATAAAGCGTGAGCAGATGTCGCACTTTAGAACGAGCGCGAAACGGATATTAAACTTGGCAGACCCCGCCGGTAAACTGTTGCTGCTCCCCAGTCCACTTGGTTTCTTTTTCTTGAAGTTGTGAATTGTAAAAAAAACAGCACTAGTGCCATTAACATAGTGGCAATCGTTACAGGCCGCAGTTGCTTGTGTTTAATAAATGTGCAACATTTAGTAGCAAGTGTAGATCTCGTCTATGTTGTGTACACGACAAACATAACTTAAGTTGAACCTTAAGTTTGTATGCCTACTAAGTATTTAACACGCAATCGACGTCATAAGAAAGACGAAGACGACGTTCTGAACGGACGCGTTTTTCATGTTCTCCGCTTCGAAGGATTTATCGGCCATGGGCCGAGGTGCTGCTCAGGCTTAAGCCAGTGGCAATGACTACCATGTTGTACTTCCTCGCCTTCCCACCGGTAAGCTTGTTGTGGACTCTGTCTTTCTACATGCGGACTTAGCTGGTCGCCCCTACCGGGTTCAAGATTTTAGAGGTGCTCTTCGGGACATCATTGACTTGAAGAAAATAAGCTCCATAGGTCAATTTCAAATGTCTCATGTTTGGATGGTCACATGCAAGTCAACGCTGACGAAAACAAAGTTGGTCACAAGAGGCGAATTTTTCGTCAAAAGTCGTCGATGCCTCGTTATTGACCCGGAGCCCACGGAAGTGAAGCTGAAGCTTATGTGGCTTCCTGAGCGCTTGGAGGACACCTATGTGTGCGAGGCACTGTACGCTTTTGGGAAGGTCAAGACAATATCACAAGAAAGCTGGAAAGTAGCGGACATGGAACAAATGCGGACGCTAAATAGGGATGTTGTTTTGTCCCTTGCTGATGGAGTTCGCATTGCGGATATTCCTCATATTCTTTTTGTCTGCGGAGTGCAAAACCTCGTCCTGATACCTGGCCGCCCACCACTTCGCCTTCGGTGCAGTAAGGTTGGACACATCCGTCGAAACTGCAGGACCCCTCGCTGTGACAACTGTCGACGCTTCGGTCATTCGGCCGAAGATTGTGTTATGACATACGCCAACAATCTGCGACAGCACACAAAACAGCCAGATGATAACCTACAAGAGCATATTATGGATGCCACCGAGGTTTTGTACTCAACGGGCGACATTCCGTCAATGTCTTATGCTTCAGGCTCTAGCACAAGGAATCTAGAAGAGGAAAGAAAGTCACTCGCTGTTGACACAGTTGAAACTTCTGCGTGCAAAGAGCCAAGTGAATCTTGCAAGCAGCATGCCCAAAAAGACTCCGCACAACCCCTAACACGAGTAGGAGTTCCTATGAAGAGTGCTACTGCGCTGACCCATAAAGATGACAAAGAACCACCAGTACAAGAAAGAGACTCTGGGCTGGATACCGCAGAAAGTTCATCACCTGCTTGCGCTGTAGCTCCGCAGCAGCTTTTTCATCATGGTGCAGTGTCGGAAGATGATATGCAGATCTCTATGGATGCTGCAATACTGAAACTTCGCGCATCGTCCAGCTCTGATTCAAGCAAAGGGAGTGACCCAGCGTGAGTGACTAGGGAGTCACGCCGTCGCCGAAAGTCCATGCCAAAGGGGAAGTGTCGCCGATCCTGATCTAGGAGGCCTGGTGGGGGTTCACGGGAAGCCTCAGCGCCAACTCTTAGGGCTGATCAATTGGGACGATAAGCGCATTGGAAGGTAGTCACCATGGTGACGTCTGAGCGACTCATATTTGCTACCTTGAACGTACGCGGCCTTAGGTCTTCACAGAAACAGGCGCAGCTCCGTAGACTTCTCAATCGGAAGCGTCTCGACTTTGTCGCCATCCTAGAGACAAAGATCGAGAGCGAGGAAGAGATCGAGAAGGCCCTGCGGCTTTTTCTGTCTCAGTTTAATGTGTGTGTCTCACATGCTAAAGGTTTATCTGCGGGCTGTTGGTTGTTTCTGAGAAAAAGCCTACCCTGTTCAGCATTCTGCATTAGTGTTGATGAAGAGGGCAGGTATATATGCTGTGATTTTTGTTGCACGGAGTGCCATGGAGATTTATCAATCTATATGCGTTTAATGATGTTCCGAAACGACTTGAGTTATTGGAAAAAGTGCGTAATTCAATGGACGTTGACAGATGCACGGTACTTATGGGAGATTTCAACTGCGTATGTGAAGCTATTGATCGTTATAATTCGTCTGGAAAGAGAGACAGGAGTGGTGAGCTTTTATCCGGTATTGTAGATAATGCAGGACTAATTGACATTGGGGTCTCGAATCGGGCAACAGCATATACAAGAGTACAAGGCAGTTCTCATGCTCGCCTTGACCGGATTTACGTGTCCTCATCACTCCTATCTCGTAAATTTTCTGCAGCACCGAAGCTGTATCATTCTCAGACCATTGCATTGTCATAGCGCAAATTGGTGAAAATCGTCACAAACATTTCCGTCCCCAGTGGGCCCTTTGGAAAATGAATGCGAAGCTCCTCTGTCATCAGGAATTCATGAATCGCGTCCAGATAGCATTGACGCAAGTTTTTTCGATTGGTTTTCATATCTTCGCTGCTTGGGAGCTTTTTAAACAAGACGTTCGTGCTATAGCTTTAGAAATTGGGGCTGTTAAGTCTTTCTATAGAAAGAATGATGAAAGGAAACTTGTTAAAAGTCTTCGCATACTTTATGAGATGGAATGCGAAATGCCGGGAAAGTACATCAAAGACATTGAGAATATTAGGTGCCAACTACAGAGATATGATACTGTTCGCTACCAAGGGGCACGTATTAGATCTCGTAACCAGCGCACTCTAAATTTTGAGCAACCGACGCGCCAAGCTTTACTTGATGAGCAACGCCATGCGATTTCTAAAGTTATTCCAGACTTGTACTTTAACGATGTGCTCATAAAAGATATCGGAGACATTACTTTGGCGTTCGAAATGTACTATAACAGTTTATTTAGCTCTCCCTCTGATGATCTTGACGCTCACCTCAAGGCTAGTTTTGTTTCTCTTGTGAACCCCTTGATGGACAATGATTGTGCAGTCATTAATGAGCCCATTACTATACAGGAAATCGAGCAAGCAATCGACAACTTACCTTTATTGAAAACAGCGGGCCCTGATGGCATCTCAGGCGAATTTCACAAAGGTTTCAAGAAAACACTTGCTCCTATATTGCTGATTATTTTTCAGGTGAGTTATGACATGGATACACTCTCACAATCTTTTTGCAACAGTCACACTGTGTTAATACCGAAAACAACTGACAAGGATAAACTTCGCTTCGTCGAGGGCTACAGACCAATATCGCTGTCAAACGTGGACCACAAAATTTTCGCAAAAGTATTAGCAAATGGGTTGCAATTTGCTATGTCGGTCCTCATTGGGTCTCATCAGACATGTGGGATCAGAGGTCGATCCATACAAACCAATATACATGTCGCTCGAACAGTGCTTCAATACTGTCATGGTTCTCAAAAACATCTTGCAATGCTACAGGTAGACCTTTCAAGAGCTTTTGATCGTGTTCGTCATTCCTTTCATGTACTGCGTAATGACAGACTAACCCGAGGTGGAGGCGTTGCTTTACTGATTAAGAAAACTCTTCGGTACGAATTATTGCCGCCCATTAAAGACTGTGAAAACGTGTGGTGCAAATTATTTATGGGAGATATCACGTTACTTATAGGGGTTCTCTATAGGCCCCCCGAAACTTCAGTTGATATTTTTGAGAAATTGGATGACTACTTGCTAACAATGACAAACAAACGAAGCAGAGTAATAATCACAGGAGATTTTAATTTACCAGCTGTTGACTGGAATGCACGAGTTGCTGGGCCGCTTAACAGGCCTCTTGCAGAAAATCTGCTTGACATCATGATCAAGTACGATTTGGTTCAGGTAGTTGACAAGCCCACTCGAGTTCAAGGAGAAACCGAGACATTGTTGGACTTACTATTTTTGTCACAGGAAGTGTTTGATTATGAAATAAGTATCGAGGATGGAATCTCGGATCATAAGGTGGTTGCAGCAACTCTTAAACCAAATAAAAAATTAGAAAAAATAACCAGAGTAAAGGTGTACAATTTTCAGGCCGCAGATGATACCTCAATTCTTGATTACTTAGAAATGGCTTTTGACGCTATCCCGCCTACAGATGATGTAAATGACCTCTGGGAATACTTTAAGAAGGTAGTAAACGACTGTTTGTCACGTTTTGTTCCCCAAAGAGAAAAGAGAACTGCAAAAGCTAACCCATGGATTACCAGAAGCATCATTCACCTAAAACGACGACTATGTCGCGCCCGTCAGAAAATACCAAGAAACTCGTCTGTTATTGCTCACATTAGTGCTCAGGTACGAAGAGAAGTCAAGCAATCTAAAAGTAATTTTCTAACTAATATATTGTCTGAATACATATCCAACTCTCCCCAGAAATTTTGGCGGTACCTATCGAGTTCGCAGTCTGAAATAACTGGGCTTTCTATAGACGGGACCTCCTATAGCGAACCGATTCAGATTGCCGAAGCATTCAATCATTACTTCAGTACCGTTTTTTCTCCAAGTATTGATCATTCAAAAAAAGGCTGTACGTTCGATGATACTAGTTCCAATCTTCTTACCGTATCTAAAGAGAGCGTAATGGCTTTACTGCTTGAATTGGATCATAAAAAATCGCCTGGTCCGGATATGATTCCCAACGAATTTTTGAGGCGCTACTCTGATTGGGTTTCTAGTTTCTTAGTTAAAATTTTTAATTTATCTTTGTGTACTGCCGCTGTTCCGATTGATTGGTTATTAGCAAGAGTTGTGCCCATTTTCAAAGGTGGTGACCGCATTAATGTTTGTAATTACCGTCCAATTTCTATCACATGCACGGCATGCAAAGTAATAGAACATATAATTTCAAAATATATATTTCAATATATAGAAAACAATAATCTGTTTTATAATAAGCAACACGGTTTTAGAAAAGGCCTTTCAACCGTCACTCAGCTTTTTGAATCTGTTCATGCTTTCGCTACAGCGATAAACTCAAAAGAACAAGTCGATGTCATAGCAATTGATTTCTCTAAGGCCTTTGATAGAGTATGTCATCAGAAACTTATTCAAAAAATGTTAATACTTGGTATTGATCCCGCAATTCTCAGATGGGTCGAAGCGTACTTGCGCAATAGGTTGCAGTTTGTTGAAATAAGTGGCGCACGTTCTTCTCTTTTACGCGTATCCTCAGGTGTGCCACTAGGCTCCGTGTTGGGACCTCTACTCTTTTTAATTTATGTGAATGATATTGCAACGGTTGTGCCTCCTTTTGTTGATGTAAGGTTATATGCAGATGATTGTCTCTTGTTTTGTCATGTGAAAAGTGTTTCTGATCAAATGCTCCTCAATGATGCTCTTCGATGTATTGACAACTGGTGTGAAAAATGGGACATGAAAATTAATTTTGATAAAACTGTGTGCATGACAATTTCAAATAAAAAAAACCCCTTAACTATAAATACACAATAAACAATAGAGAAATTAAGAGTTCTAATGAGCTTAAATACTTAGGTGTTACTATATCCAGCAGTTTAAAGTGGGACAAGCATATTGACAATATTACAGGACTGGCGAAGCGAAAGCTGGGTTTTCTGAGAAGGAAACTCCGTAATGCACCGCCCTCTGTTAAATTGTTGGCGTATAAGACGATTGTTAGACCAACGCTGGAGTACGCAGCTATCATCTGGGATCCGCATACTAAAACTGAAATTAACAAACTTGAACGAGTACAAAGATTGGCCGCGAGGTTTATTTATTCAAATTACATGAGAACACAGTCTGTATCACTTTTGCTTGCTAGGGCTGATCTTCAATCGTTAGCTACACGTAGAAAAATAGCTCGCTTAAAATTTATTTATGACCTGTATCATAAAAACTACAAGCTGGATCCCAGTGTATACCTGCGCCCCCCAGGACGAGTATCGGCTCGTACCAATCACTCATTTTCTGTCCAAGCTTATGTACCGCGGGTGGATGTATTTAAGTTTTCGTTTCTGGTGCGATCTATTGTTGACTAGAATGCGCTTCCTCC